AGAGAAACGCTGTGGCAATCAAACTGGCAGGGGTAGAGAAATCGGCTGTGGAGAGGTGGCGCGGAGCAGCGCCGAAGCCTCCCGCCGTTTTTGGGGGCACGAATCGGCGCTTCCCCGAATCAGACCTGTCTGGCTGCAAGATCAATTTGGGATAGAAGGCTAGAGACAAACTGATTAACTGTCAAACCTGCTGGCCACGAAAGAATTTTTCCTGTTTCGGTCAAGGAAGAATCACAAGCACTGCCTATCTCTCACGAGGCTGAGCAAAAACTGGGGAATGCTGAGGAGGAGTCCCGTGGAGGAGGAGGAGGAGCGTTCCACAATTTAAGCCCAGCCTACACATGCAGAGACTGAAGCACCTCCCACTACTGGATGCTCTGAACAGCTCATGGGAGAACAATAGTGGGCCTTATTCAGGATGACAATGAGGGTTCTTACTGCAAGGAGATAGAGGGTTTGGTGAACCAGTGTAATAAAAACAGTCTTGTTTTGAAAGGTTGAAAAAAAATGAAAGAGATTGTGGTCAATTCTAGAAAAGGAAGGCACAGCCACACATCTCTGTGTATTAATGATTCACCTGTGCAGGTGGTTAATAACATCAAGTTTCTGGCTGTGCAGCGAACAAGTAGGCTGGCTTGATCGCTCAACAGCAAGACCCTGGTGAAGTGGACACAGCAGCGCCTGCATTTTCACATGAGAAAAGTACATCTTCCTCCCCCAGTCCTTACCACTTTCTATAGAGGGATGATCGAGAGCATCCTGTCATATTGCATTACAATCCGGAAGAGCATTACTGCATATCGCATTACATTTGGAAGCATTACTGCCTCGGACAGGAAGGCGGTGCAGAGAGTGGCGAGGACGGCAGAAAAGATCACTGGCAGTTCACTCCCTTCTATCCAGGACGTAGCATATAAGCGATGCTTGAGCAGGGTCCGCAGTATTGTCTGGGATCCTACACATCCTCTTCGTGACCTGTTTTCCTTGTTACCTTCTGGGAGGAGGCTTCGTGGTACCCGAAGCGGAATATCTAGATTCAGTCATGGTTTTTGTTCCATATAGTATCAACCTTGTGAAATTTCAAGCTTCCTCTTTCTGCTATGTATTCAAAATGGACAGTGATTTTGTGTGTTTGTGTGTGTGTGTGTGTGTGTGTGAGTGTGTGTCCAACACAGGCAGAGAGAGAGAGAGAGAGAGAGAGACGGAGGGAGAGGGAAAGAGGCAGGGGGAGGGAGGAGGGAGGGAGAGGGAGGGGGCAAGAGAGAGAATGTGTATATGTGTGTATATGTGTGTTATGTATGTGTATGGGTAGATATATACTTTCTTTTGACAGCAGGCAACAGAATTTCATTTTTAATGTGTGCCAGTATGCCCACAGTAAAAAATGACAATAAAGGTTATCTTATCTCTCTTAACCTATCACCGTTTGCGACCTTCTGACAAACGAAATCAATGGGGAAGCCAGATTCACTTAACAACCATGTTACTAACTTAACAACTGCAGTGATTCACCTAACAACTGTGGCAAGATAGGTCGCAAAATAGGGCAAAACTCACTTAGCAACTGTCTCACATACCAATAGATATACTGGGCTCAGTTGTGGTCGTAAATTGAGGACTACCTGCATTATGGACTATTGTAGAAGAGAGGCCATGACAAACTGCTGAAATCACACAAAATCTGGCAATCTCAAAAGATTTGGGTCAACTTTGTTTGCCCCAGGAAGTAAAAACTGCCAACCTTAATAATAAAACACATTCGCTCTCATCAAAATTAGAAAGGATACCCATAGCTTTAAAGAAACCTCTTACTCTAGGAGTTGAGTTTGACATGAGAAAAGCTTTAAATGAATTGTGTTAGGCTGGTTATAATACAACTGGTGTGTTTAAGGTTAGGGTGGGATTTGCTTGTCTTGTGGACACTTCCACCCCAATTTCTCCTTTTTCTTCACTTTGTTGTCCCTTTCAATACAAATAATAAATAGGATAGATTTAAGATCCAGGAGCAATGTTGAGTTGATTAATCATATACAGGCAGTCCTCAAATTATGGCCAAAATTCAAAGTTTCTGTTGCTTAGTGAAACATTTCTTAAATGAGCTTGTCCCATTTTACGACTTTTCTTGCTGCATGTGTTAAGTGAATCAGTGCAATTGTTAAATTAGTAACTGGTTTCCCCATTGACTTTGCTTCAGGTCACAAAAGATGATCACATGACCCCAAGACCCTGCAGCCGTCATAAATCTGAATCAGTG